AGATTTGCGTTCATGTAGTGCCATTTCATAACCTCTTAATGTCCCAAAACACTTCAATCCAATGAAGCAATTTTAAAGTCTAATCTCTGTTGAATTGCAGAGAAACAGTAGATTTGAGAAAATCATGACAGTGCTGGAGGATGGAATGATAAGCTCATGGTGTGGGTGAGGGTGGCTTTTAGAAGGTTAGAAACAGAACATCAATAAAGTAAAAAACATAGAGCCATTAAACTTCCTGTAATGCACTATTCAGTTTCTTTATAAAGCTAGGGAATAGCAAACAGCTCTGTACATTTTTGAATGAAAAGACTACTGCTGTCTTTATTTCGTACTACTTGAAGGAAATCTTTGTCACAAGAAATCTGTGTCACAAAGCAAACACTTATCAAAGTAACATTGCAGACTTAATTTGACTGCAATCTTTTATGAAACACCCTACTTGTAGATTTTTTGACCTGCTAATCTTAAGAGGATAAACTGATTTACTCAAAAAACTGTGTTTTTGTACAGCTTTAACAAGGGTACAGAATTGAAATGGTTGCAGAAAAATTAAAGTGCTTATAGAAAACAATGACAGATTTGACAAATTGAGACAAGAGGAAAAAAATAATTTAAAAAAGGAAGTGGGTTTATTACCCCACTAATTTAAAAAGTTGACAGTCATGGAGAGAGAAAGAAAGAACTGCAACCAATTAGTCGAACATCAGTATTGGGGGAAATGGTGTAGCCTATTGCAAAAGGTGCTACAACAGAACATTTGAAAAGCATGAACAGAATTAGACAAAACCAGGATTTATGAAAGATAAATCATGCTTAACAAATCCAGTGGAGTCTTTTGAGAATGTAACTATAGAGTAGATAAGGGAGAACTGGTGGATGTGGTGTGTTTTGATTCACTAATGCATTTGATAAAATCCCTCAAGTGGGTAGTAAGCAAAGTTAAGGTATAGAAAAAGTTTACCAGGATGTTGCCTGGGTATGGGGGATTTTAGCTATGAAGAAAGGTTGGATATATTTGGTTTTTCTCTGGAATGCAGAAGGTTGAGGGGCAACCTGATAGAAGTTTATAAGATGGAGAATGGCATGGATAGAGTGCAATGTATGAGGCTTCCTCCAGGGTATAGAGGTCAATTACTGGGGGACACAGGTTCAAGGACCGGGGGTGGGGATGGGTGGTAGTTTTAAACAGATGTGCAAGGTAAGTTTTTCATACAAAGGGTGGTGAGTGCCTGCAACGTGCTGTCAGAGGAGGTGATGGAAGCAGACACAATAGCAGCGTTCAAGAAGCACTTGGACAAATACATGAATAGGAAGGGAATAGAGGGATACGGATCCTGTAAGTGAAGACAGTTCTAGTACGGAAGGGCAAAATGTGTCAACTCAGGCTTGGAGAGCTGAGGGGCCTCTTCTTGTTCTGTATTGTTCTTTGTTCACATGATAGGGTTAATATATTTGGCATGGATCAAGAATTGGCTGGCAGACAGGAAATAGAGTGGGAACAAATGGGTCTCTTTCTAAGTGGCAAGCAGTGACCAGTGGAGTATCACAAGGATCAGTGTTTGTATCACAACTATTCACAGTATATATAAATGTCTGGGATGAGGGAACCAAATACAACATTTCCAGTTCTGCTGATAACACAAAACTGTGTGGGATGATGACTTGTTAGGACAACACAAGGAGGCTTCAAACTGATTTGGACAAGTTGAGGAGTGTGCATACACATGGCAGAGACAGTACTGTTTGGTTAAAACAAAGTTATATAGTCTGATATGAGCAAAAGAAAATATTATTTAAATGGTGATATATTTGGAAGTGTGTATGCACAAAGGGGTCTGGGAATCCTTTGTCTACCAGTCAATGAAAGTTGTCAAGTAGAATAGGTACAGCAAGCAATTAGGAAAGCAAAAGGGACATTGGCCTTCACTGCAAGTGGATTTGACTTCATTTATATGACTTACACAGGGCCTTGGTGAGACCACATCTGGAGTATTGCATGCAATTTTGGTTTCCCTACCCAAGAATATATTTGATATAGAGGGAGCGCATCGGAGGTTCTCTCTGCTGATACCAGGGATGGCAAGATTGTCCAATGAGGACAGATTGGTTCAACTGGGCCTGCACTGTTTGGACTTTAGAAAGATGAGAAGGGATCTGATTGAAACATATAAAATCTAACAGGGCTGGACAGACTTGACGCAAGGAGGGTACTTTTCCTGGTTGGAGGGTCTAGAGTCACAGGACATAGTCTCAGGGCACAAGTAGGTTACTTAGGACTAAGATGTAAAAGTGCACCTGGTTATAGTCCAAGAGGTTTATTTGAAATCATGAGCGTTCAGAGCTCAGTTCCTTCATCACATCACCTGACGAAGGTGCAGTGCTTCAAAAGCTCGTGATTTCAAATAAACCTGTTGGACTATAACCAGATGTCATGTGACTTCTGCCTTAGAACTAAGATGAGGAAAGATTTCTTCACTTAAAGGGTGTTAAACCTGTGAAATTCTGTGATAGAAAGCTGTGGAGGCCATGTCACTGAATATATTCAAGATAGAAGATAACTTTTTTCTATATTTTAAAGGCATCATGTGGTATGGGAACAAAGCAGAATTTCAGCACTGAGATAGAGATTGCACCCCTCCAGAAAGTTGTCTATCTTTTGCTTTTTCCTGTAATTTCCCATTTTCTGAAGCCCCTAGTTGTCAATTTTCCATGGAAAGGTATTTATACTTTGCTGGCACACCTTATCCCATTTCAATACCTAGCTTTTTGTAACTATAACATAAATGCTTCTAGCTGACTTACAATTTCCGCTGTTTTCCAGGATGACATTTATTTTGTTTTCCCAGCATGGTGAAGTTTTCTTTAGAAATACAACAGCTCAAACCTTTTCCTCAGTCCAGGTCACTTTTTCCAGTTGTTTCTTTTCAACCTTTCCATCACTGTAGTTCTCAATTTGTTATAGTCTTGGCTGTAGTGATGCTTGTTCCAAGCAGGGGTAAAATGTGATGACCAGACACAATAGCACGTTTTAGCAAGTTTGATCAAAGTTCATTACTTGAAAGCAAAATGTACGGACATTAAATCAAAAGGATATAAGGCAAATCCATCCTTGATCTGGGTAGAAAAATAACATTTGTGATAAGATCTGATAATTGTCTACGTGAGGATGTGTCCTTATCTAAGAAAGGAAATTTTCTTCAGAGCAACCACAATCTGAAGTGTCAGGCTGTCAAAATGCTACTTTTTAGAATTAGAATTCGAACTAGAATTAGCTTTATTCTCACTAGTACTCAAATGAAAAGTCTACAAGTCGCTATGTATGGCGCCATCTTAGGTACAAAAGTACCGAGGTGCAGATTCTTAAGTACAAAGTCTTAGGGGAAAAAAATTAGAAAAATAAACAAATGAAATGAATAAACTAGCAATACAGATCATAAGAATTAAATCAAAAATTTTTGTTTGGAAAAATGTCTCCAATGTTTTTCTCTGTTGAGGTGTTTAGTAAATTCTTGTTCATGGCTGGGTTTGGAATCTGGAATTTCATATTTCTCCTGTTCAACCTGGTCCGACATTTTTCCAATCACTCAAGGGAGCTACATTAGCTTTAGTGACATTAAAAGTATTTTTGCAGAACTGCCAGGCAACAAACAAACAAGAGAAACCATGCTAGATAACTTCCATTTTGTGATATTACCACATCTCTTACGCCTGCTAAGCTACATGCAACTGTGCCCTTCAGGAACTGAATCACAGAAGTTAATTACTTTGGGCACGCTCCGAAACATCAATGCAAGTTCAATAGAAACCCATTTATGTTGATAGATAAGGTACTTACTGAAGCTGCAGCAATCAATCAGAAGAACCACAGAGCAAATTCCAACAACTCTTTTTAAATATATATATCATTGAAGGAATGTGTGCATCCCTGGTACAGTGTTTATTATCAATATCCAATTTCCATTCAAAATGTGGTGATGGTAAGCCACTTTCTTGAATACATTTGAAGGCATGTTAGATCAGAGGGTAGTTAATAGTCAACCACTTTACAATGGGTCTGGTGTTACGTGTAGACCAAACCAAGTAGGAATGGCACAACTCCTTCCCTAAAGGAGACGGTAAACCAGTTGGGTTTTTACAACAATAGGATAGTTTCCAGATGATCATTATTGATATTACCTTTATCTTTCAGATCTTATTTAGTTAAGTTTAAATTCCTCAGCTACCATGACGGAATTTGAACTGATATCACTGGATCATTAGTCTAAGTGTCTAACCACTAACATAACCTTGCATCATCAAATTGAATGGCGAAGCAGGTTTGAAGGGCTAACTGACCTACTCTTGCTCCTATATTCCGTTTTCTTTATGTTCACTCTGCAATCTATTGTTTGCATGTTGAATCTCAAATCACTCACCTTTGGGTCCACAGAATGGATCACTGATAATCTGACCCCATTTATTTTCCACTAGATTTACTGTCATAATGAAACGGGGCCATTTAACAATTGTGTGTTAAGTAAAACAGGACAGACACAGACCAGGAGCATGTCTCAATTCAGGAGCAAATGGTAACTTAAAGAACTTGAATGCTTCATGATTTGTTTCCAAAGTAACTTCAGTAATTCATCAATTGTTCACACTTTCTGCCATATCAGTGCTTTATGTCACAGCTTGTTTAAAGGTCTCAAATAACATATTACGACACAGCTGAAGCATTTTCAATAATCTTCAAGGACTGAGTTCATTTATTTCCAATCATACATATATTTATTCATGACTTATTTCAGTGGGAAGAATTAATTGGTCTTGTAGTTATGCTTTTTTAAATGGAATAATAAACAGCTTGTTCTAGTTTGCACCACAAATACATCTAAACATTCAGAATGACATTCATACCAACTCCTACAAATATTAACTTCATGGATATTTAAACTAACTTCAAGGACATAATGTTTCAAAGCTGCATGCTAGTTATCGATTATCTTCATTGGCACACCAACCTCATTGATTTCCACATGGTATCGTGACTGTTGAAAAGATGGAGAGTTGTCATTCCGATCCCTTACTATAATTCGCACTTCATGCTTGATGACACTTCCGACTCGCAAGTTTAGGCAATCGAGCACAACAACAATGGACTGGATATTTGATGGAGGCTATTAATGATAAAATAAAAAGAAAATTTCAGAATCAAGGCTATTTAAGAAATATTCCACTGGCACAAATCTCATTGAAAAATTCTGATTTGCCATGTAAAATTGTCATGCCCATCACTGGAATGTTACACTACGAACTTTGTCAATGCTTTTTCAAAAAAATATATAAACAAACTGCTAAGGTGGCTATCACATATCACGTGACATTTATTAGTCAGTGCATTCAGTACAGGAGTTGGGACGTCATGTTGCAGCTGTACAGGACAGTGGTTCGGCCATTTTTGGAAGACTGTGTTCAATTCGGGTCTCCCTGCTGTCGGTAAGGTGTTGTTAAACTTAAAAGGGTGCAGAGAAGATTTGCAGGGATGTTTCTCGGATCGGACGGTTTGAGTTACAGGAGAGGCTGAATAGACTTGGGGCTATTTTCCTTGGGGGTTGAGGGGTGACCTTATCTAGGTTTATAAAATCATGAGGGGCATGGATATGGTCCCTGCCCTATCCCTGTAACCCTGGATTTCCCATGAATAATCCATCTAGCCTGCACAACCTTGGACACTATGGGCAATTTAGCAAGACCAATCCACCTAACCTGCACATCTTTGCATGCAATGGGTTCGGTATATATGACAGTGTCCAGTATGACAGTATTATTTTTGCAGTAACATTCTGGAAAACTAATTCAGAAGCATGTGGAAGACACATTATGGCATCATGTTGCTGGAGAACTGTTAAAAAAGAATTGAAAATGCCAGAGAAACTCCATCACTCCTGTCAGGATTCGTGGTGAGAGCAACAGAATTTGCATTTCAAGTCCAAAACGTTCTTATTGAGAACTGAACGAGTTGGAAAATGATTGCTTCTATGCTGTTGGCAAACAGGAAGGAGTTGTGAGTAGAACAGATAGTGAGGGTGCCCAGAGAAAAAGACAAGGAGAGAACCAACTGTTGTAGAGTAGTGACCTATATTTAAAAAAAAGGTTTTAATAGTAGACGTGAATAGCAGAAAACAGATCTGCTTTACTCAGAAAACTTGTGTAAACAAGACATGGGGAAGGGGCACCTAATTAAAATGGAGGACAGTGTTCATGCTCTGACGTTGTTGAACTCAATATTGAGTCCTGAAGGCTGTAAAGTGTCAAAAATGGAAAATGAGGTGCTGTGTTGGAGTTTGCTGGAACATTGCAGCAGACCTAGGACAGAAATATCAGCATGAGAGCAAGATGGTGTATTGAAATAACAAGCTAGTGACAGGAAGATAAGTCATGATGGTGTATTGAAATGACAAGCTGTTGACAGGAAGATAAGTAAAGCTGATAGTAGCAAGATTCAACTAACCTGAAATCTGAGTTCTAAGTATAGCTTAAACCATCAGAATTATGATCAAAAATGTACAGGTAGTAATAATTTACTGGCATCCGATCTAAACTAGTTAAGAGACTGAAGTGACAAACAAATACACAGTAATGAACTTCACATACATTTATAATTTAGCCTGCATCAGATACATGATAAATTCTTCTACGCTTTCCCCTCATGATCTTTGTTCATCCTTGAACTAATTGATTAGGCTGTCGATAATAACGGACAAAGTGGAATTGTTGTATGATGCATATTATGCATCAAATAAGCAATAAAAACTTTAAAAAATCTTGTGGTTCGAATAATGCCAGCAAGGTCAAATTCCTTGCTCCTCTTTAGCTTTCCTGAAAGGTGATGTTGGATCCCCAATATCATTAATTACTCAATTCCAAGAAGTACGCAAGAAGAAAAAATATTACATGCCTACGAATACCATTGCATTCTTTCCTTTTCATTGCATTTCACACTTAAAACAGAGCCAGAATTGAGGATTAATGTTTCACCTCATTAAGTGCTTCATATTTAGTGCTGCATTAATTATTCTCAAAGCTGATTAGGTTAATTAAGTTTTTGTTTCTTTTGCTGCACTTTTTAATACACGTAGTGATTTTTTAATGTTTGAATTCAGTATGTTTTATCTTTCCTAAAACATTTGATAGATATCTTAATGTTGAAGCTATTAAAGAAGCAAAAAAAAGGACATCTGCTAGAATATAGTTGCCTGACGTCCCCAGTTAACTGATTTTATCCTTGCCTGCCTGTGTCCGACCACTACCTATGACAAATAGGTACAAAAACAGGAATTGCTGGGGAAATCTTTGCAGGGTCTGGCGGTATCTGTGGAGAGAAAATAGAAGGATGGTCACTGGACTAGGAACGTTAATTCTGTGTCTCTTTCCAGGGACCCGATTGCAGCCTTGGGTGACTATCTGTGTGAAGTTTGCATATTCTCCCTGTGTCTGCGTGAATTTTCACCGAGTGCTCCGGTTTCCTCACACAGTCCGAAGATGTGTAGATCAAGTGGATTGGCCATGCTATATTGCCCATATTGTCCAGGGTTATGTAACGTAGATGGGTTAGCCATGGGAAATGCAGGGTTACAGAGACAGGGTAGGGGGTGGGTCTGGGTGGGATGCTCACCAGACGGTTGATCTGGACCTGATGGGCCGAATAGCCTGCTTATACACTGCAGGGATTCTACAATCCAGCACTTTCTAGTTTCGTTTCAAATCTTCAGCATCTGCAGTTCTTTGTTTTATTTTAGATACTCATGTCTGTTCTGTTAAATGGGTCAGTTGTTCCACACATCCTGAAGCATAGGCCAAGGTTTTCCCATTTCTTTCTAAGTGTGGGCCGAGGATGTTAGGTGGAGAGTCACTGCTCCCACTGGTGAGGCAGCACACCAGACCAGCCTCTCAACGACAGGTGACAGGCAGCATATGGGTTAGCATCTTGCTTGTCAGGCACCTCGACATCGGTGAGCCAAAAACTGTTGGCCTCTCAGAAGCTGGCAGCTTCAGGATCCAAAGGACTGTCGGTTCAGGCCTGATCTGGAGGGCATCTAGTGGCAAGAGGCAAGTTTCTTTTAATCTTCCTCATGTGGCGCGGGAGTCGTGGGGAGATAGATGAAAGAATCTTTACCCAACTGTCTAAAACTATGATTACCCCAGATTGGACAAACAGCTTGTTGTGGTTTCTAGTCTTTCTTGCTGAACAAGGAGGAAGGTGATCTGGGGAGGTGGCAGGTTGAGGCTCTTAAGTGGCCATCACGCATTAGTACCTGGTGCATGATAAAACTTACCCATGGACATTCTCACCCAGTTTAATTGCAAAGATGGCAAGAAGGAGAAGAGTATCTCCAGAGCAAACTCTAAGTTATTCCTCCTTCTTGCCATCTCCATGGAAGTGAAAATTCCACCTTCCCTCAAAACCCAGTCTGGTGGAGTGTCAACAACCAAATCCTTCCCTGCTGAAGTAATACCAACAAATTCAAGCTGTTTCCCACTGCTACAAAGGGATCGCCATTGTTAATCCCTTCTCTGTTGTCATCTCCAATCAGACAATACTCCTAATAATAAGATAATTCCAAAACAAAGGCAACACAACTCTTCCAATGGTTAGGGAATGAAACTGTCGCTTGAATTTGCATATTTCATCAATTCCAGATGAGTGATTGAATTTCACAAATACAAAGGAACTTCAATTATCCACCATAATGAAAGGGGGCACTCATGCAGATAATTGAAATTGACACAGTTACGACTTCCCAAATTTTGGACTTGCTCCTAGGATATAGAAATGTGCTAGGTACCGCAATGACAAGTAGTATGCAAACAAAAACAGGTTTTAATCTTTTTAAAACAGAGTTATGTTGGACAGAAGTTTGGTGTCAGTAAGTCATATAATAACTCAATTCTTTGTACAAGGTGTAAATGTCATGGATGCCACAGAAACTAATTCCACTGCTTTTCTTTACATAACTATGTACCATTGTAACTCATCCTGGCAAATATCATAAAAACCAACATCTTCTTGCTTGAACCTCTATCTCTACCCACCATCAGCCACTTCCCGCATTCAACCTCCTCTACCCACCTAACAAGAAGTAAATTCGGCACAACAGACAAATCAGATTGGGCAAAAGGGGTAGCAGGTGGCACAGTGGTTAGCACTGCTGCCTCACAGCGCCAGGGACCTGGGTTTGATTCCATCCTGGGGCGACTATCTGTGTGGAGTTTGCTCATTCTCCCCGTGTCTGCGTGGGTTTCCTCCGGGTGCTCCGGTTTCCTCGCACATTCGAAAGAGGTGGCTTGAGCATGCTAAATGCCCTGTAGTGACTTGGGATGTGCAGGTTAGCCATGGGAAATGCAGTGTTACGGGGATACGATAGGAGGCTGGGTCTGGTGGGATACCCTTCAGAGTGTTGGTGTGGACCCAATAGGTTGAATGGTCTCTTCATACACTGTAGGGATTCTGTGAAGAAGGGTAGTTTAAAACAGCAACTTTTAAAAAGAAAGTCATTCTTGTCATTTTTCATGACACTAAGACAGTTTGTATTCAAAATATAACTTGCATTTATATAGCATTTTATCAGACCCTCAGGACATTCTGAAGTACTTTACAATCCTTGCATTACTTTTGAAATAGACAGTTATGTAGACAAAAGTCACCGACAATTTCCATTCAGCCAGGTCCCATAAATAGCAAATTAATGGTGACCAGTCAATCTGTTTTGATTTATTTGGTTATGGGAAGTGTGTTATCCAGAAAATCAGGAGAATTGACAACTTTTTTTCAGAGTGCCTTGGGATCTTTCACATCCAATAACTCATCTGAAAGTAGGTATTTCAGACAGTCCCTCAGTACTTCACTGAAGTGTCAGCCGAGATTAAGTGTTCAAATCCGTAATGGGACTTGAATTCACAATTTTCTAACCTAGAGGTGAGAATGCTGACACTTTCATCTGCAGAATTCGTTAGCTGAACCAAAGACATAATGCAGAATGCAGGCACGCCAAATTGTCCGTAGAGGTGAAATTTACATTTATATGTAACGTCTTTCATGCCAAATATGTTGTATCAAATGTGTGCATTTGAAAAGAACATTTCCAAATCATATCATTTGTGAGAGAATCATAATAGTGTCCATTGAAAAACAAATACAAATATTCTGGTACAATTTAATTCTGCTTCATAGTGTTTAATGACCATTAAGAGAGGACATAGGTTTAAGATGAGAGGGGAAAGATCTAAAAAGTACCAGAGGGGTAATGTTTTCTTGCAGAAGGTGGGGCGTGTATGGAACAAGCTGCCAGAAGTAGTGGTAAAGGCTGGTGCAATTACAACATTTAATAGGCATCTAGATGGGTATATGAATAGGGAGGGCTTCGAGGGATATGGGTCAAATGCTGGCAAATGGGGCTGGGTGATATTGGGATGACTGGTTGGCATGGATGAGTTGGATCAAAAGGTCTGTTCCTGTGCTGTATGGCTCTATGACTGTAATGCAATATGTTTAATTTGAAGGGTTTGGAGACATTTAAGTAAACAAACTAGGCCACCCGGAAAAGATTTGAGTTTAGGAAAGGAATTTCAGAACAAGAGACGTAGACACTTGCTGTCACTAACGGCTGTATGGAGGAAAGATGGGATGCACAAAAGTGAAAGCATTTTGAAGCTGACAAAACCACTTCCTTCCACATTTTGGATATTAAGGTATTTCCTTAATTGCTTTTGGCATTGCTAACAATGGGATGGTCACCTTCTCATTCACTCCTGCTCCATTTGTCCCTCAGGACATCAAGTCATTAGTGTTGAATAAATATTCTGAGAAATCACTGCGACAGTAAAGCTCTGTATAAGTTAATCCTTTACCTTAGTTGTAAAATTCATTTAAATATATATATATTTCTTGGGATGTGGATGCTGCTGATCAAGTCAACACTTGTTGCTTATTCAGACATACCCTTGAGAAAGGACTTATGGACCTTTGTAAGTGTACTCTAACAATGTTGTTAAGTTGCAAGTTCCAGAAATGTTCTCCAACAGCAATGAAGAAAAGACGATTAAGTACATTTGTAAGTAAACTGTCCCAATGGTTGTGACAATAGTGTATTTTGCAGCTGCTTAACTCATCCATAACTTTAGAATCCCATTCAGAGATAAGACCATAAGATGTAGGAGCAGATTATTTATTTTCTTTCTTTTCTACTTAAAACTAAGAAGGTCTGCAATGTGTAACTTTTAACCTTATTTCATTTGGTTTATGCTATACAGTCGGTTCTGATATGACATGTGTTTCTTCAATGCAAATTGGTTTTAATGCGATTGAAGAATTATAGAACGCAAACTTTCCCTATCTGTTTTGGCTATAGCATGATTCCATCTCCATCACTTTAAATATAGCAGTTATTGTGGGATTTTCTTATAACGCAAGATCACACAAGAATGGAACTATCGCATTATATCAGAACTGACTGTACTATAACTACTGCTTTTAACTTTGTTCTTTCTTTCTAGTCTCTTCTTAAGATTCTGTACCTACATACTTGTACCTAAGATGGTGCCTTCTGTGGCAACATTATCCACTTTTCACTGTACTCCAGTACTTTTATACTTGATAATGTGTGGCAACAAAATCAAAATCAAATTAGAAAAAATCAGAAGTAAGCCATTAGTTCATCCAGTCTCTTCCAACATTCAATTAGATCAGGGCTGAGCTGCTAATCCTCAACTTTACTTTTCTTTTTCCCTGTAACCCTTGATTCTCTGATTAAAAATGCCCATTTCAACCTCTAATGTAACTTAATCACCCAGCCTCAACAACCCTCTGTTGTAAAGTATTCCACAGATTCACAACCCTTTGAGAGAAGAAATTCCTCCTCATCTCGCTCTCAAATGTGTGATAGAACGCAAGCGAACATTGTGCCTGAACTATCAGCCAAGCTTCTCTTTTTAAAGGGACCCCAGCAAATGTCACAGTGACTGTAAAGAAAGCTGCTTCCTGGAAGATAATGAAGGCAGGAACACAGAAGTGAGATGCAGGAAGATTACCATTCTAGATTTCTGACTCTGCCTGGGAGTTATACCAGAGGTGGTAAGGGTCACAAAGATGGTGTTCTTTCCTGTCAACAGGAGGAAGAGCCTAGCCATCCAAATAGAAGATGTGGCTGAACACAGGATGGATGTGGTGCAGAGGATCTGAATTCAGCATTACAAAGCTTTAGTGACCACATCAGGTAATAAGATAAGCATCATACTACTCTCAGATGACTTCCACCACTACCTGATGTTGTGTTCTCTTGATGTCACAACTTACTGAAATGTAATGATACGTCCCATGTTGAGTTTGCACCTTTTCCTTTGTCACTAATTCATGTAACTTGACCTCTCAGAGGCCTTTCAAAGGTGTATGAAGATACAAAATAGGAGAAATAGACCATTCAGTCCATGATCTATTTGTGTTTCAAATTCCACATTTCTCACCTATCTACCAGTAATCCATGATTCTCCTCCGTAATAGGATTCTGTCTTAAAAATATTTAATAATCTTGCTGATGCTGCCTTCTAAGGTGGAGAGTTCAAAAGTCACACAACCCACTGAGACAGAGAAAAAAAATTCTCATCTCTTTTTTTAAAAGGGTAATCCCAAAATGATCTAAAAGGGAGTAAATTGAGGAGCCCAGAGTAGGTGGGTACTCTGAGGATGCATTCTCACATTGCCCATAATCTGATTCTACACCAGTGCATATGCCTCAGTTGCTCCTACATTAGAGATAGTTAGGTTATCACATGAGCGGAAGTAAGCATTGGAAAGAGGGACAGCAGCAAAATGTCCACATCACAGGACATAGGCTCCACACACACAATATGATGGGAGAATGACTTTGTTGTGAAGATGTGACTCAGTCTCCACAAGGTCTGTGCAAGGTCACTCTTACCAGTACTGTAATGGATAAATGTACTGCTGGTTGGCTGATAGGCAGATTGATGAAGACACGGTCAAGCAGGTTTGTCCCTCTCGCTGGATCTCTACTACCTGACTACCACAGACTCAGCTGGCAACTGAATCAATATCATGCATGTTGGTGCTGCCAAACCACTGGTGGACATTAAAGACTCCCAACTCAAATATATTATGCACCTTTTATTATCATCTCCAGTGTCTTGCACTGTCATACCTCTTTGTTTAATCTCCTGCCTTTTATCCTGTCATAGACCTTCACTTTTGTTCCACCCCTTGCCTCCTTTCCTGGGTTGTGTAAAACTCACTGCATCTCAAACTTTTGAGTTCCAATGAAAGGTCAACTACCTTAATAGTTGACTCTCTGTAAATTACCCGATTGCCTGACCTACTCAGCATTTCCTGCAATTACTGCTTCTATTGTGATACAAATTAATTTAGGAGTTCTATACTGTCTGAAAGTTACATTTGAAGTGTTATAGCCAACAATTGCACTTTTTTGCAAATGTATTTTCTTTGAATCAAAGTACATTAGGTATGCAGCTTCATTTTCTGATTCCTTGCGGATCACTCAAATTGTGAAGTGCATTGTCATTGCAGCATATCTTGTAAAGTCAGAAACAGTGGCAAAAACATTTTTTCTATTGATGAGAGAAAGGGAATTGAAGATTTGATAGCTGAACAGAAAAAGCACATAATCCCCGATCCTCAAAAGGGCAATATCCCAGAGTTACAATTCCTCCATGAAAATAAAAAATTATCATATTCATCTGACAGGAATGAAGATTAAAAGGCAAAGAAAGAATACTTAATTAGCTCCGGAGATTTAAGCCCTTAACTTTTCACACAAAAAAGAGTCAACATCAATACGAGACAAATGGTAATAAACTAGAAAATAAAGCAATTGGTAAAAGCAAACAAAAGAAGCCAATAGAGATAACAAGGTGTAGAGCTGGATGAACACAGCAGGCCAAGCAGCATCATAGGAGCAGGAAGGCTGACGTTTCGGGCCTGGACCTTTTTCTGATGAAGGATCTAGGCCCAAAACGTCAGCCTTCCTGCTCCT